TAAATGTTGCCCTAGCCAGTGGCATTCACATCATTTAAACAAATATAAAAAACTATTTAAGGTCCAGAATAATACTTGCTGAACACCATAATGTGAATCATGGATTCTGATATTTTTGATACATGTTTGCTTTGGTCCTTGACCATCAACTTAGAATTATCAAAGTACAACTGTACGTCACATCAGAAATGTAGCCTGGAATTTGAACACTGCCTCACTGCATGTTTTAGCCTATTTAATCTTTGGAAATGATCTGCTGAAACTGTTGGGAAAAATAACACCAATTTAGGTCATTAATTGGTGAATGCAATCCAATTGGGCAGGCAACATTGCAGTTTCTGAACCATTAAGGTCTATGGACTTGTAATCACTAAGTTATACAGTCATAAAGCATGGAAACAAACACTTCCATGCCGACCTTGTCCTACTTGCCTGCATTTAGCACATATCCCTCCAAACCCTTCTTATTCATGTGCTTGTCCAAATGTCTTGTAAATGTTGAAACTGTACCTACATCCACCGCTTCCTCTGGCAGTTCCTTCCACATACCATTCACTCTCTATGTAAAAACGCTGCCCTTTTTTAAATCTTTCTCCTTTCACCTTAAACATATACTTCCTACTTCTGAACTCCCCACCCTAATGAAAAGACCCTTGTTATTCACATTATCTATGCCCCTCATGCTTTTATAAACCTTTATGAGTCACCCCTCAACTTCTTACGCTCCAGTGAAAAAGGTCCCAGCATTTCCAGCCTATTTCTATAATTCAAACCTTCCATTCCTGCCAACATCCTGGTAGATCTCTTCTGAACCCTCTCCAACTTAATAATATCCTTCCTATAGCACGGCAACCAGAACTGCATACAGTCCTCCAAAAAGAGGCCTCACCAATGTCCTATACAACCTCAATATGACATCCCAACTCCTATACTCAAAGGTATGAATTATGAAGGCAAGTGTGCTAGATGCCTTCTTATCCAGCCTGTTTATTTGAAAGCTGGCAATGAGAGGTCAAATTATGCTGCATACGTTTGTACGTTGCACCAAAACAGCTATTCAGAAGAATGGAAGCAGGAGGTAGGGATGGCAGGTTCTTGAAGTCTAATTGCTAGTCATTTCAATTAAGGCTCAGACAGTGACCAAAATTTATTAAACTAATTTAACATTAGCAGATTTTTCCAATACTATTGCTAAAATTCAAGTGTAAATGAACTAAAGATTGCTGCGCATGCATTTCATATAATGCGTACCATTTCTGTGCTAAACTAAAGAATAAGCTAATAAACTCATCTCAACAACACAGCAGTTACTCGCAATGCACATAAACAGTGTCGGATGAGGAAGAATTTCTTCACTTAGAAGTTGGTGAATCGTCACTGCCCCAGAGGGTAGTGAAGGCTTAGCGGTTGAGTGCATTCAAGAAATAGACCTATAGATTTCTACATATTAAAAACATCAAGAAACACTGGAATAGTGCAGAAAAATGATGCTGAAGTACCAGATCAGTCATGATTTTATTGAAAGGCAGAGAAAGCTCACAGCCGAATGGCCTACTCCTGCTCCTATTTCTTATGTTCTATGTTGAGTTACCAATTGAATAAGGGGGCTTGTTTGCCAGTTGTAGCAAGTGACAGTATTTTTGGACCAATGATCTCTCTGCTTCTTCACTATTTCCTTCTCACTCAAGGTGCTGACCACTGGGAACCTCTTCCATTTTATGAAGTCTCCATTTGGATCTTGCTAGATTGATTTAGCTGTTCTCTGTTTTTCTCTCATTATTGTGAGCTGCAGGAACACACTATACAAAAAAGATAGAGCTTCCAGGCTTTGGGACAGAGTGGTTTAAGAAGAAGCCAGAGATACATTTGTTCTGTGTGGAACTGAGACCTCTCCATCAAAATACCTTCAGCAGTGTTTTCTCCATATCATCAATTCATGTTCAGACTTGCTCATCTTCTCAGATGTACCTGAATCCACTTGCCCTGTATATTGCTGAGATTTACTGATTCTCATTTTACATGACTGTAAAAATTCAGTTTCCTTGTGTCCTTTTGCATGCATGTTTTGGCTGCCAGTCCAGACCTCAATTCTTCACTTCTATTTCTCTCTTTCTCTTCCTTTTATAAATTGTTCTTTACTCCACCCAGACCCTTCACTCCTGTTGTCTTGTCCCTTCACTTCTTTCATCCTGGTGGTCTACCCTCTGAATTGTCTACTTCGTTCTGTTGCTTGCTTGACGTCCACTGAAAGACTCCTTAAAACACTTGTTGCTTCCTTATGAATGACATCCCAAACTGCTCATCCTATTCTCTTCACAACCTTTCTGTTCAGCATGCTGATTGGCCTAACGTTGACAATATCCTGCACTTTCAAATCAATCCTCCACTACTCACTGTGGGAACTCTGTTGATGAATCAGCTATTACCACCTGTCTCCACTTCTCCCTCCAGAATATCTCTAAATTTTGAACAAAACATATTATAACAATGATAACAAGGTGTAGAGCTGGATGAACACAGCAGGCCAAGCAGCATCAGAGGAGCAGGAAGGCTGACGTTTCAGGCTTAGACCCTTCTTCAGAAATTGGGGAGGGGAAGGGGGTTCTGAAATAAATAGGGAGAGAGGGGGAGGTGGATAGAAGATGGATAGAGGAGAAGATAGGTGGAGAGGAGACAGACAGGTCAAAGAGGCGGGGATGGAGCCAGGAAAGGTGAGTGTAGGTGGGGAGGTAGGGAGGAGATAGGTCAGTCCAGGGAGGACGGACAGGTCAAGGGGGCGGGATGAGGTTAGTAGGTAGGAGATGGTGGTGGGGCTTGAGGTGGGAGGAGGGGATAGGTGGGAGGAAGGACAGATTAGGGAGGCGGGGTCGAGCTGGGCTGGTTTTGGGATGTGGTAGGGGGAGGGGAGATTTTGAAGCTTGTGAAGTCCACATTGATAC